AAAATTTTTGGTATCAGAGAGAAAAAAATCCCTGCTTCAATTCCTCAATAAATTGAATATATAAAATTAAATAGCACTTACAGGCCTTCATTCTTTCATGGATTCCTCTTATTGCATAACTCAGAATTCTTTCCATATGTTTCAGTATTGGGTATTCAGTATAAGAAGATGTTTGCATATTTTTAAAAAGTTTCAATCTTCCAAAGTAGGCTTCATGTGCTTGTTTCCACCAAAAAAAAGGCAAAAGAGCCCCTTTTTGATTATTTAGAAACATTTCTACTGATGTTTGGAAAGTTTCTCCCCAAATTTGAGTGCATTTTTTGTCAAGATAGTCATATCTTATTCTTTCAAATTGTGGGTCTTCCATTGGAGATAATTTTTGTGATGATTCTATCCTTGCAGAAAACTCTGGAATTGAGATGAACATTCTGTATTTGGCTTTTTCAATTTCCATAGGGTTGTGTGATTTTCTACATCCAATCTCAACAGGTCTTGTTACCAAGTATAAATTTGCTGTTACAGAAAAATATCTAATGAAATCCTCAAGAAGAAGAAGGCATTGATAATTTCTTGTCATCTCAACTTTTTCTATGAATTTTCTTGATGCATACTCCATATCCAAATTCAAAAGAAGTTTATGTATATCATAAAGCAATTTCAAGTTCAAATAATTATAACCAGGGGGTATCTTAGGATCCTTGTATTTAGCCATTTGAATATCCTCAAGCAACTTCTTGACAAGGGTTTCATGTTCAAATTTTGAGTTATTTGCAACTTCATGTGGCATGAACTTTGTCTCCCCGGTGCAATTAATCTGGATTGATTTTGCCTTCAGAAGTTCAACTGTTTCTTTGATGTATTGTGATACCAATTTATTATTTTTTTCAACAACTTGGCAGAGATAGTTCAATTCTATCACTGCCCAAAAATCTGGATCCATGACTTTTTATTTCAAGGATATTAAAAGTCAGTTTCATTTAATCATGTGAAAATTCATCAAATAACTCAATTACCTTCCAACAAGACTTGCAATTCTCCATATGCTGAGCTTTGAATTATAGTAGACTTGAAGTCAATAGTAAGGATATATCTTCCAAGTTGTTCAGCCTCTATAAATATATCTTTCATGTGGTTTAAAACCAAAATCTTCCCCCTTGTTCCCCTGAGAAATGTTTTGATATTCTTCAAGTTTCCAATCTTGTGCTTGATTGATTCAGTGAGAAACAAGATCATGATCCTTTCCATTTCTATATAGACACTGGATTTTGAGGTTGAGGTTGTGTTTAATTCCAGTTTTTGCCACATGTTGTTCCATTCCATGATGAAATTATTTACCAAAATTTCATGCATTGGGATTTGTGTTCCAAAAAGATTGAATGAAGAGGAATCTGGTTTATAGATGCCATCTAAAGCCAAATTCATGAGAGACAAATGTTCTTTCAGTTCAACCAACAACCTGTTTTCATTTTTCAATCCAAAAGTTGTTGTGAAAATATCCCCAAGACGACTCAAAAGATCCTTCAGTTGGTTTTCAGATTCCTGAATTGGAAGGACTGTGAATGGTAGATGTTGGTTAGAAATAGATACCAATAGGTATCCAGAACATGGACAAACACACCTTCTGGTTTTGGAACATGTAGCACAAACTGAGTAGTTGGTACTCCAGAGTAATCTGCTGATGGGGTATAATAAAAGTAAAAAATTGTTTCCACTATTCTCACTTTTATGCAATACAGACAAGTGATACTAACATCTAAGACTATCCTTTTTCCAAGATTCTATACCCATCGGCTCCCAACGATCTTCAATCCCTAGTTCATATTTGTTGAGTTTTATCATCCGATCAAAGTTACAGTTAGTCTCCATGCGGCCCAGAATCGGGGAAAGTTTAGTTAGAGAATTAACAACTTTGTTTACTGTCCCAATCCCGGCTATACCGTGAATTCCTTTCCCAACCCCAAAGATCTTGAAGCAGCGGCCAATGTGGATTCATTTTTTCCCGCAGAGTATGGAGACATGTGAAAAAGGCATTAGCAGGCATAAATTGAAGCTGAAAATACACTAATGTGGAGCAAGAGAATTGGGAAGAAGAGTGATCCTCAAAGGTTTCTATCCAATTTTTGCTTACCGGTGTGTGTTGGCATGTATCTACCTCCTGTAATGTAAGAGTCATGAGCTTGGCTTTCCACCAGCTGTTCACTTGCTTTAACATGAAGAAAACCGTTTCCAATCAACGCTTCCCAAATAACAAGCTGAGAGATCAAGCACAGCTGGGAGAAAAGTAAGGTATGCATGCTTGAGACTGCAAGAAGTGCGGGAGGTATGACGGCTTAAGACACAACTGTGCAAAACTTATTTCGTGTCTTCTATTCAACAGGAAAACATTAACCAAAGTCTTCACCCTAGGATGTGAAGGGGGGGATTATCACCTTCGGTAATGAATCTGGCGAAAGCTTCTTGGGTGACTACCTGGATTTGAAAGCACCTGTGCGGAAGGCCATTATTTATATCAACAACTGGAAGTTCGCTGCTGCGTTTTAGTGAAGATCAACTCATACCACGACTCATAACTACGACGAAACATGACTGCGTTTAACACCCCAGCGACCTCCTTTGTCGTTTTGCGGCCATTTGCGGCTGCACTTTTATCCGCTGGCACAAGTGGTATGCTTAATCTGCTTGTTGGTCGTGCCCCCTTGGCCTGACTTTGGTTCGGCTGATACTGTTGATGCAGGATGGCAACATTATTTGTTTTGTGCTTTCCGACTCAACAGACGCCTTGCATTCTCCCCGATCTGACTGAGAATAGATCAATTACATAAATACAAAAGTGTTCACCCCCGGGTGCTTACTCCTACGCCAAGATTTGACCATGCTAAGGTCTAGTGTGACTTGAGACAACAAACACCCTATTGAATACCAATAGCTGCGGATACATGTTCTGCCACGTCCCATATCCAAGTCCAGTAGTGAGGAAAGAAACATCTGAGCTTTCTATTTACAGAGTCCTTGGCCAGACCTGTTACTGGCCCAGTACCAAGGTTTTGTTTATGTGCGAATTTTCATACATGCAGCTCATCAGTCGTATTGCAAAGTTTGATGGATCTATAAACCAGTGAGGCCCTTCAGGGGAGGGCTTGACCTAGTAATGTTGCTAACCACCTTCCTACTGCTGAGGCCACATCCAATGCTCAGTGGTAGTGAGTACCATTACACTGAGGATTCAGTTGCAAAAAGAGCCAACCTAGTAGTTGATCTCAACTCTTTCCCTCGTGGGTTGAATATTAGTTTTGGAACAGATACCAAATGGAAAGAATGTCATTCTATTTTTTTTGGAATATCCAACCAATACCGAAATAAAGATGCTTTACTCTTCTCATCCAATACTGTCAATGAGATAATGTGGATTGTCTACTCACTCAAGATGTCTGTCACGGACATCCCTCTCTTCATTTCAATGCTGGTGTTGGGCATTTGGACCCCCTTTTGCAAGAGAAGACATGATGATTTAAGTGGCATTCAAGAGCTAAATTAGGGGGTTCATGGTTGAGCTCGAGAGCCATTTTTTCCGCAACCTGATGGATGTTCCGGCTGTTTTAGGAGTCTTGAACCTGGCTTGAAGATGTCCGAGCGGCTTGTTAATCCTCACTTGTACTGCTCATGAGTATGATACTCTTTCATAGGCTAAAAACTGGCCTCGCCATCACCATCCTTAAACATGTGAATCATATTTGCAGGGTCTGTACTTTCCTTGCGGACGAATGAAGGATCTATTATAAGAAGTTTGAAGATGAAAGGTCCGGTTGCAGAAGAATAGAGAAGAATATGACTAACATTTTCTTGAACTCGAATGAGGAAGAGGCCTTGGAAGGCCGGAGCTAAAGGGATGTTTTGACGAAAGTGTTTCAGATCTCAGAGGCAACATGATACAAGGGAGAGTCGGCAGAACAGTCTTCTTGGCACATACCCAGAGCAGAAACAAGGAATCCACACTCAACATGTTTCAGTCCACAAACGTATATTTTTATTGCGTCTTCATCAAGAGAGTAAGGAGACTCATTATCCAACATCAATCTTGGCAATCAGGTTTTTGAGCCATTGAGTGAAACGAATCAACCCTCCAGTCTATTATTTCTAAAGCGAAGTAAATGAGAGAATGAGTTACTTTGGGTTTTCAAAAAAAAGGTGGGTAAATGAGTGATACATAAGTGTGTAGTAAGCGGTGTGTAGTTCAAGGCAGTGGCGGTATATATGCAAGCACAAGATTAACGAAAAAGAAACCTGATGCAATGTACTGAGCAGTTGAGATATCTGTGTAAGGTAGATGTATAAACGCGCGAGATGATTAGCAGTGAGACTGATGACAGATGCTCGATGACGTGATAATTTTTTGTGCAAGAAAATGGGTGTTGAGCGGTATGTGATACAAAATCAAAAAAACGAAAATGATTGGATCTCTCTTCTTTGGCGTGAACGTTATGGCTTGATTGCGTCTCTTCTGGCGACATGGAATAGAGTCTTGACGAGAGATGGTATTGACGTGGACGGGTGAAGTTGGTTAGAAGCTGAGGCAGCTGGACATGCATGTACTCTGGATAATGGGCATCGAACTGCATTGAATTTGTTACCCTGCGGGTTGTGGAGCAGGTCCATCAGAAGAGTTCAGGGTTGAAGTATGGATATATCAGGCGAGTCAGTCCCATACGCAGAGCCTCAGTCGAACGTGTTGAGTTGCAGTAATTCACATTATTTATGTCAGCCTTGTGTCGGTCAATGTCGTTGGTCGCTCGGCTGGATGGAATGAGTGATGGCCATGTAAACGAAAAACTATCAAGACGAAAGCAACAGTTATAACATGAAGGTCGAATGTGTCAGGCGAGAGAACTGCCGGTGGTGGGGTTATTACGGGACAGTGAAAAGCCCGCATCCGGACTCTTTGCTGGAAACTAAGCAATACAAGATGATGATGAAAGATGGTTCAGATAAGCGATGAATGAAGACTATGGGAGTGAATGGGCCGATTCGGGTGATTTGGGAGAGTAAGGCTCATCCAGGAATTTGAACGTCAAAGAGTTATGGCTCCAGCGAGTGGATTTCTCGTTAAAGCTCAAGAGTTGGTTGGGAATCCTGTGAGGAACGGTGAAGTCAGTATTGGGGGAGTCATCGGAGGAGGAAGAGTCGGGGATCGAGCCACGGCAAGATACCGAAGGGAACGAAGCCGCTGGCCGACGGGACGGAGGGATTCCTGGGCACGGCGTGGGCATCGATGCCCGGGTGCGGGGCCGGGGCTGACGGGGTTGGTGGGCGGCTATGACGGCCTGAAGCCGTTCCTCAATCCTGCGCGATTGTAGTTGGAGCACAACGACCAGGAGAAGACTGCCTATGATTACGACGACCAAGGCGAAGATAATGTACACACCCAAGGTAGCCCTGGAACGATACAAGTAAAATGCGCACTTCAATTTTCTGGGTACGGTACGCTTGATGCAAGAAGAGTATGAGACCCATCACTCACGATAAAAGCTCGGAAGATGCAGGCGGAGTGCGTCGATGAAGAAAGAGGCTTATTTGTGGGCCCTTGGAGTTTGGGTCATGAAGTACAACCATCCGCGCTTCGACTGACGTACTACCTGTTCATTGTTAAGAGGAAATCAGGCGGATCAATTGATTCAGTTTAGGCAGTAATAATCATCCGGCTGATGGGGAATGAGATTCGAGAAACCAACAACAGGGATATCCTTTGGCATCGATTGGCCATCCACTTGGCCTTGGCTAACGTGTTCTCGAAGGATCTAGAAAAAGGGACCAGAGAAAGAGATAATTATAAGGATACTCCACCAATTGAAGGCAGAAAGTCGTGTATTTAAATATGTTGGTCGAGAAGGAAATACGAAACTGTGGTGGGGCGCTATTGAATCTGACTTTTGAGGCAGTTCAGAGTGAATGCATGGCTGTGGGTTTTTTTGGAGGGTGCATATGTATGCGTAGGTTAATGTGACTTGATCCAGTTTATTTCCTAAGATAATAGGGGGGTCTATATATGTCCTACCAAGCAGGATGATGAAGGCTTCACAGATAGGACCACTCACATTTGGTCCACAAGCAATTAAATTGACAAGTTGGGAACTTGGGTGTCAGACACTGAGTAAATCTTAGGAGCTGGTTAAAAGAACCAAATGGGCAGATGTGGTGGATGCAAGCGATACATGAGTGCTTGAGGATAGACGCTCTAGCCATATCAGGGGGTTGAAGGGACTGACATGATAGTTTTTTGTGGGTGGGTCGGTGTACTATTGAAATTTGAAGTGGTCCGGTGGAAGTTGAAGAGGTGGTTCAAACGAGCGAAGATAATTGGAAAGCTTGGGGCTGATGCGGATGGATGAAGGTTTTCGAAGGAATGTATTAACTGTGTTGGGATAGTTAGTAGAAGTGGTCAGTCGGGGTGTACCTAGCCAATCTGATCCGTGGTCGACCAACCTGAAATTCAGAGTATGTTCTATCTGTTGGGGGATCCAAGGGCCAAAATTGAAAGAGAGTGGAGAAAGCGGCAGAAGTTGTTACAACAGGTACAAGCAACTTGGATTGCGCCGAGAGAGACCAGCGACACTGACAATTTGCAAGGCCTCAGATCAGCCCACCGGCTGTCAGCTACATAAAGGTTATGTAGCCGAAGAAGCAGTCAAGCTGTAGGAAAGATCACGTCACTGGATGTCTGAATCGGTCTGGAATACAACTGTAGAGTTGAGACAGTGTCACTGCGCTTGCGGCCCGGTATCGATGGCCTCCGGCCACTCCCGGCGGCCGCTGGGCGGGAGGAAGAGGTGAAACAGGGTGAAACGGCACCTCGAGCTCGAAGGTTTCGGAGGGCATGTCACGCTTCAGGGAGTTTCCCAAAACGAGGGTGTCGGATGAGGTTAAATAAGGTTCATTAACGGAGACTAAAACACCCACAAACAGCACAAACTCAAGATCAAACAAGCATCAGATTCCAACAGATTGCGTTATTCGGATCACGGAACGTTTTTTCCGGAATGTTTCGATCTTTAAGTGGTGTGACCGGGCCTACATAACACAAACCCCTAACAGAGCCCCGGTGGGTCTCCGGAGGCCCCCGGGCATCGCGCGAATCCGTTCCACCTGGACCCGGGGGCATGGAGGAATCTTTTTTGGATATTAACAGTTTAACATCAAGAAAACCACAAACCCTCCAAAATAATTAAAAAAATCACGGGGTAATTGTCCCAGAACGTCTGACTCCAAGCAATGCCACCAAACAAGAGCAAGGCAATGCCTTCACAATGAACAATGATCCCCTTCTAAGTCTTTTATAGTTTTTTTTGTTCCCCACACAGTCTTTGATCCTCTTGCCAACAAGTCCGGCTTTCCTTGACATTTTTGTCCCTTGAACCCCAAATTCTGCTTGAGGAAATAACACTGACTACCCACTAAAGGTATGTAAAATTCTTGGCTAATTGTTATATTCTTCTGACCATGATTGGCCTTGAGGCCCCTTTGGCTTCTTTTTTGTTCCTCTCTTGCTGATCTTGGCCTTTGAGCATTATCCTTCTTACCCTTTCTTTCCTCTCTCAGCATGATCCATGATCCATCTTTGTTATTGCCTTTTGTGGCTTGTTTGAAGATTCCCTCTGATCTTAGCTTATATCTTAGATAGCCATACTCAGCTCTGGCTGGACTACTCTACAGCCTGGCTTCTTCCCTATTATATCACTGTGCCAGAAAATCTCTTCAATGAGACTCACCAGCTTTACCTTGTTTCTCTCTCTTCTCTCACTCAATCCCCTTGTCCAAAAATAGATGGGCTCTTCCCTGTATGCAATAGATAAGCAACAAAGTTCACTACAAACAATATGTCTTGTTTTACTTTTTGTTATACAATATTATTTGTTTTGTACTATTTTTTTATGTAAGGACATCACATTTTCCAGCCACTGTCAGTTGCTATACCCACACACCAATAACCCCCTGTACCCCCACCGGACATCAGAAGACAAGACACACCCAATTTGTACAGGTCACCAGGACTACCTTTTGTCAGTGCCTGTCTCTTATGAAACCATGTGTTGATAGGGTTTTGGGTCTCACTAGAAAAACAGAGGTGGTCAGTGGAAGAGAAACTCTCCTCAACACTTAAAAATGGAGGGGTATTTTCTAGAGATGGCCTCAGGGTATCCATTGCGGATACCCGTTATCCGCTGGCGGATACCCGCCAGGCCCAGCGGATAACGCCAGAGGATTCGGATTTGGGTGCGGATGCCCCATTCTCCTTGGAATCCTGGCGGGTATCCGGGTATCTCCATGGATACCCGTCAGAGGGACCCTGCCTTGAGACCTTGTACAGTCTCGAGGCCAAGAGGAACCCCTCTCGGCCAAGACGGTCCACTTCAAACAGGTGATCAACTGTCTCGAGGCCGACCATAAATCAAGCCTTGAATCGGCCCTCAGAGGCTTGCTGCATGATGGTAGACTCTCTGCTAATTGCGCTGACGGTCTTCACTCTCCTAATCCCTCTCCGCCTTCCATAGAATGTGTTCCTTCTTTTGTTCTGGTTGCTCTTCCTCTTTTTACATCTCCCTGTATATTCTAGATGTCTTCTTTCTTTGTTTGTTAAAGATCTTGTCTGCATCGGTTTTCCTCAACCGCATAATTCTACAGATACCAAAGGATGCTAACAAGGACTCCAAAGAAAAAAGAAAGAAATGTGGATCTTGTTTCAGGTAAAAATCAACAGAAAAGAATTGATAGCATTCATTTTTCTTTTTAAACAAATAAATGTCAGAAGGCTAACCCGGTAGTCTGAGCACACTTTGGACTCAATAGAAAAAAAAAGAATCAGGGATGTTAAACATAATTTTATGGAATCAAAGCTAAAGAAGGTCTTAACTGATTGCCATTTGGGCACCCAAATCGACGAAGGCTTTGAGTAGATGCCCGTTCACCTCAATGTGCACATACAACATCGTCACCCTTCCAAAACTTTTGGGAGAGAATTCAATCGGATGCTGCATGCTCTCCCAAACGCGCTCTTGTCTGATATGTTCGTTGATTCTTCTTTGAGCCTAAAAAAAATGAATGAATTGGGGTTGTTTATGCGAGAGGAAAATCAGATTGCAATCCTTGGCCCCTCCAATCACCCTTTGCAAGTGACGGGTATCCAAAGATACCCGCGCGGCGCGAAGGCGGGGGGGATACCTGCCGGCGGATGCAGATGCGGGTGCGGATGGCGGTTTCCCTGGAAAAAGCAGCCGGATATCTGGGATG